AACTGCGTTTGCTGTGTCACAGTTTTAAATGCTGCCCCTCTCCAGCAGTACACTTCAGTGTCTCAGCCGCACAGGTAACAGTCACTGTGCCAGTTCTGGCTGCTCCTGTCTCTTAGAAACAGCTGGTCACTGTGATGCTCGCGGTATAAACCAATCCCCAGCCGACAAGCCCTTCTGTCCCTACACTTCCAGCTTGCTTGTTCCATACAAGCCCGAGACCACCAAAGATCGGGGCCTGACATTCTGAAGAACAATGTGATTCCTAGTTGGCACCCGTTTGACATAAAACAAATCTGCCTGCGAACCCAGGGTGTCACTACAGTGTCTCCGTTCACCATTGCGTCTGGAGTGTCTACCATGGAGACCGATCATGCTGACCTCTTTGGTCACCAATTGTAGCCCTTGCAGACAGAGCAAGGACCTCTCCAGGACCCAACAGGATGGCATGCCCTCGAGATTTCTCAACTCCCCTCAGAGGTCTGGAGGAGGATCCTGGTTCCCCACTCAAGTGGCTCATGTCAGACCCCAAAGGGAGGAGGACACAGTATTTCTGTCTGCCTGCCTGCATGGCTGATTCCAGTAAGACCCTGGGGGCACCTCAGTTTGTCCGTCAGTTCTGCTCAGCCTGAGCAAAGGGGACTCTGATCAGCTCTCATCAGTCAGAACCACCCTCCCCGAGGGAAGAGGGTTGGAAAGTTTAACTCCAAGAGCCTGCCCAATGTCTGTGTGAGGCGGTGTCTCAGACAGCATAAGCAATAGGCTGCTCCGTCTGTGCCCTGAGTCCGGGAAACCCTGGTGGAGGTGGCTGACTGGGTCCTCACCTGTGGTTCTGTGGAGATGGACACATGGCACAATGGACTCCTTAGAAGTCACACCTGAGTCCCCATGAGGGCATGGCCAGGTGGGCATCCCAGTGGTCTCTCCCTGAAGGGTACCCACCCACTATCTGCTGTAGCATCATTCAAGGGTATAAAACATACACCCAGGGAACCAGAGAGGGGAGCTAATTAGTTACAATCTACAGTCCCTGACTGCAGGAAAAAGGGATTTTTACACTTAAAAAGGAAACCAAACTGCTCTTTGTGTCTCAAAATAAAGACGGGAGGAGGTAAGAGGATTACACCTTGGCACCCTCATTGGCTGCCACAGTTGCTGCCAACACCTGCAGCTTCACTTCTGGCTCCCAACTTGTCTGCTTCCAGTCAGTGAACTGATTCCAGCCGGCCACTGCCTACATCTGACCACGGAAGCCCTCCCTGTGAGCTCCTGCTTCACAGATGCACCTAACTGGGCCAGGTGTCATTTAGTGCCCACCTGAGATGCCTATCACCAATTCCTTTTGAGTTTCCCATTCTGACTGAGGAAAAACTGTGCCTGTCAGCCCTAAGGAATGAGTTGCCTGGCCTTTCTCAAAAGTTGCCCTTCCTAAAAACCTAAAATCAATTGAGCACTTCTCAAAGACGTCAAAAAAGCAGGGCAAAATGTCCATCAACCACTGTTACCCAGAAACCTGAGAAAAGAAAAGCACGATGTTCATTAGAAAGTCCAGTCTAACAGGTGACCACACCCTCTGGCTATGAGTTATAAAAACTACAGACACTTTTTAAAATGCCCATTCAGATTAAAAAAAAAAAACTCACAAAAGCCTCAACCTGGATCAGATAGCATTGGTCTGATGGGCTCAGACTAGGCCAAAGGGCCTCCCTTCTCCAGCTGGACCACCAGGAGCCCACGGTACCATCACGGGGGTAACTAGGACACTTGCCTCCCACACCTTCTGCTGGCACAAACTTGCATCCTGGGAGGTCATCTCCTGTGTCACCCAGTCCCCACACCACTTCTGGGAAGAGACTTCCCCTTCACGGTAGAAGTGACTGTCTCCTCTGCACCAAGCCAGTCACTCCCTCTCGTTTAATCCTGCACTTTCAATTCTGACTGATCCCTAAGAGGAGGATGACACCTGCATCAGCCTGACAGAAATAACTGCAATCCTGACATTCTGAAAACTCTCCTCCCAGAGGTACAAACTAAGGACTCACCTCCGGGCCTGGCCATCGACCAAGCCGCCTCACCATGACCCCCACTGCTGTCAGCTGTCACAAACAGGCATCCAGCCACACATCAGCCTGACAGGCCTTAATCATCTAGGGCAAGATCTCTGTGCCAACAACAACACAGCCATCACCTTGCACCCCGCAGTTCCCAACCCATGTACCATTTCTGCATTGTCCTAGACTTAAAAGATGCCCTCCTCTGCTTGCAATCTACTCCTATAAGTCCCCTGAACTGGGAAAATCCTGAGACAAAGGCCAGTTCACTTGGACTCAACTGCTGTGAGGGATTAAAAACTCTCCCACTATTTTGAGGGAGGCCCTAGCTATCATAGTCCCCCAAGAGAGAAAAAAACGAGACTTCAAAATGTCTGCAGATTGTCCAACTGCTAAAATACACCTCTCCTGCCTATCAAGCCAGTCCAAGATCTCCAAGCTGCCCATGCTGCCATGGTCGCCCTCACACACATCCCCCGGTCTCCTGCCACCCACAGCCTGCTGGTTCACCTGCCTGGGACCTAACAATGCCTTCTTCTGCCTTCAACTGGCTCCAGTCAGCCAGCCTCCCTTCAAAACTGACCTGCACTCAACCTGCTAAAGGCTCAAAAACTTGTTTACCTTCAACTGATCTTGTTAGTTTCCCAGAATGACACCCAAGCTGCCACTGAAAAGACACAAAAGCTCTGCTACAGTTCTCTGGCAAAAAGTGGTTACAAGAAAGAAATTCAGCAGCTTTCTTGGAGCTTCAGCCTCCTGTAGAATCTGAATCCTTGAATTAACAGAAACAATGATGCTTGCTCAAGACTGTCAGCCCCCAGGAGCACCCAGAGGTTTACCTGTGCAAATACTTGGATCCAGTCACTAAGGGCGGCCTTTGTGCTCTAACAGCCACTGTCCTCCTGACTAAGAAAGCTGAGAGGTCATCCAAGGCTGAGACCTGACTGTCCAGGTGCCACAGGTTGTGCTGCACCATACCCAGCACCACTCTGCCTGGCGCTGACGGATAAGCTCTTGTAAACTCCTGACAGATGCTAAGTACATCTCGTCTACAGATGGAAGGAGCTCTCTTAGGAGCTCTCGTAGAGTCTGACAGGCTAGCAATGCTCTGTCACTTTGGAAAGGTGCTATTTTGGCCAAACCTACACTCAAAACAATCTGGTCCAGAAGCCTAAGGCCTCTCTGGGGATCTGACTTGTCGGGGTCGCTCCCGGCCGGCAGGAAAGACACACGACAAAGTCTGGCGGTGTGCAACCTTGCCTTTATTTGTCTCCGCGTGGGCCCCGCGAGGCCTCCTCTCTGCCACCAGCCCTTTCTCGCCGGTGGACTTTCTCTATCTCTCTCTGTACTTCCTCTGTGCTTCTCTCTTGTGGCGGGAGAGGCATTTACTTTTATAGGGTAACAGTGGCCAATCAGTTCAAAGCGCGCGATGCGGGCTGATTGGCTAACATCAGTTGTTGCTAGGCAGACTATCTTACAGAGCGGGTTGTTTAAGTCGCCAGCGCAATCAGGGGGCAGGAAGCAGGCGCCAACTTGGCTCACTCGATGGGAGGGGCAATCTAGCTCAGGCTCCGCTCCCACCCACAGGCCCTACGTCCGCCAAGTAAGGCGACCAGTGTCGGCCGCGGCTCCCAACACTGACTGACTAAAACATCAGCCTGAGGCAGAAAAAAATTTTCAGTTTTCCCTGAAGATCCATGTGAACCAGAGCCAGATCCAGCTCCACTGTATGCTCTGCAAGCTCAAGCCTCAGTGCTGGCCCCTGTACCCCTGCAGCCAGCTCAGGCTTCAGGTCTGAGTCACCAGCCCCAGCCTTCCATGCTCTAACCATACTGAGTTTAGCTAAAAGTTTAGCTATAGGCACTCCTCACATACATATAACCCAGGTGCATATGAACTACCTCTACAAGTGTCAGAAATCCCACCTTAGATTCATCAGGAAAAGTTACCTGGACCAGACAGCTCACTCTGAAGAGAGATGCACTCAGAGCCTGCTCTGATCACTCTGGAGGCTGATCAGTCCATGCACAACTGAAGCCTGAGGAAACGGTCCATGGATTGTGCTGTACCCACTTCCCTTGACTTCTGTGTCTTTCCAGGCTGCTTACGTCAGTCCTTGCTTCCCTGACTTTTTTACTTTAAACCCCATGGACTGTTTCCCCAAGTGAACAGAACAATCAATTACACACTTGGCCAAGATCTGATGAGCATCCGAGGCACATTGAGCACTCTCCTAGATCAGATTAACCCCCTCACTCCCTTGTCAGAGTAACGTTACAGAACAGACAGGCCTGAATTATATCTCTTTCTGAAAATAATTTAGGGGAAAACTCAGTAACGAGACAATCTTGGGGAGCTTGGCTAGGGTCCATTCTAGGATCACAGACAACCCTGATGTTACTGCCTCTAGCCCAGCCTCGTCTCAGAAGATCACACATAATACGCCTAGCAAAGATTTGCCAGGGAAACTAAAAGGTGGGGAAATGTAACAGAAAGCGTCCCCTCACCCCACCCAGCCAGCGTGCTTCAGCTTCCCAGTTGCCCAGGTAACAGTTCCTGTTCCAGCCCTGGTTGCTCTGTCTCTTAGAAACCGCTGGTCACTGTGCTGCACAGCTGGTCACTGTGAAGCTCCCGGTGTAAACCAGTCCCTAACTGACAAGCCATTCTGCCTCTGGACTTCCGCCTACTCATCCCATGTAAGCCCTAGGCCACCAGAGAGGAGAGCATGATATTCTGGGAATGACCCTGTTTGGTTGTCTTTTTAAGAGAAAGTGTATGATGTTTGTCACTGTTTCTTAAAACTCTGCCAGTCCAGGGTGGGTGGTTGGTGCTCTATGGAAGAAGCTGCCCTGCTGGTCCCTGCCCCGACAGACTCCAGTCTGGGGCCGTCACTCCTTCTTTCCCTGCAGCTTGAGGAGGCCCAGCAGCCACCCGCACCATTGCAACACCCACCTGCTCAGGTGCTCCTGAAGCACCTGGTAGACGCTGATCCGGAAGGTCTCGTTATCAAAGCGTTCCCGGATGTAGTCCTTATAGATCCGGAATTCGGCTGCAGTCACAGCTTCCCCTTCCGGGATCTTGGATACATCGAACCGGAACTCCCGATGGTGGTAGCGCGGGTGGAAGAACTCTTTGTCATGTTCCACTGGAAGGAAGAGAGCACAGTCCAGTGCAAGAGCCCATTAGTCTCGGGGTTTCTCTCCTGGCACAGAGTCCAAGCACCTTGCTCGACAGGGTGGAGACCTGCCCACTGCTGCCCTGGTGACCAGTGCCTGCCCACAGGGACACACCGTCTGCAAGGCCCCAGACTGGGACTCCTGGTCACCTTGACCGAGAGCATGACTCTGTACCCAACCTGCTGGGGCAAGGGGCCCTGAACATGGCCATCCAAGAGGGACAGGCCAGAGCCGGGTCCCCATGGCTCAGTGCTTGGTTGGAGTCCAGCCTTAGCCCCTGACTAGGACTGTGGCTCTGGATGAGGCAGAGACAACCCATCTGAACCTCAGTCTCACCATCCGGGCAGTGGGGATACAACTTTTTTCATGGGGTGTTGTAAAGGCTGAGTGACCTCATTCACATGAACAGCTGATCACTTGTTAGGGCTGGATAATAGCTAGCTACTGTTCTTAAACATGGGCATTGCTATGCCCATTCCGGGACACTGTAGCTGTCAGCCCTGGCTGTACTGAAGAAGAGTGTGGACTCATTTAAAAAGTACAGATGCTCTGGCCCACAGCAGACCGGTAAATGTTCTGTTACCAGTCTCCAGGGCTTCATCAGCATTGTTTGCCAATTTCCATGGTGCAAATGCTGCCATGTCAGCAGATTTCAAACTACCGAAGTGAAGAATGCCGTAGTGGAGACCCCAGGAGGGCAGAGATGCCAGGAACGTGGAAGTTCAGCTGAGGGACACTAAGGGACACCTGAGTGAAACCAGCAAAGCCACAGGTCCAGAGCCACTCATGCCCTCTGGAATTCTGCATCTCCCTCAGGTGCAGGACATGAGCTACAGGGTTTAATGTTTACCTCGCTGGGGTTTGGCCTTACTCTGATCTGATTCTTCTCTATCCCTCATTCCTCCTTTTTAAAATGGAAATGTTTTACCCTGTGCCACTCTATCTTGGAGTTACATAATTTGTTTTTGATTTTTACAAAGGTTAACAGCTAAGCATTTGCCTTGAGTCTCGGAAGAGACTTGGATTTGGACTTCTGAAAAATGCTAAAGTCGCTCAAATGCTTTTCTTCTCAGATGTCTGACAGCTGCATTAGGGTAGGAGGGATTATGAACTTGCTATTGTACTTATTTGGAGACAAGGCATCCTTTAAGAAGATGCAGTTGGATAGGAAGTTGACGGGAGGTGATCCTGAATCACAAACTTCGCTGGACTAAGAAACCACTACTGGATGAATGAAGCACTCTTCTGGGTATGTAAGTGGGCACTGTATACCGCCCCTATCCTGGTCCTCTCTAGGACTGTCCCCTCTTCTGCTCTCTGGCCGCTTTGCTGGCCATGCCCTTCCACCATGACCACAACACTCCACCGGACCAGATACATAGTCTTCCAACCCTGGAAACCAAATCACACTTTCCTACTTTAAGTGGTGTGTATTCAGTACTGTGCCCCTGTGACAGAAAAGTTGACCAGTACAGCACCCATGCCACCCCGCCTTCACCCAGCACCCGAGGAGTGACTCCAGTGCGTGCTCTCCCCCCACTCCCAGAACCAGGACCCCACCCAATCTCGGGTCCCTAAAGGCTGTCCCGTGATGGAACAGCAGACAGACGGTCCCTGTCTTGCTGGACCACCAGGCAGCAGCACCCAACATCCAGGAACCAGCAGCATCCAGCCCGTGGTCCCCACACACTTGAAAGCCTCTCTCTCCTGTGGACTCCTTCAATGTGTCCCTCCAACTCCTGGCCTCATGTCTCAGACCTCATTGTAGATGCAGCTTCTTCCTCCTGCCTACCTTGTTAGGGACCCCCAAGACCAGGGCTTGGCCTCCTGCCCTCCACTGCTCCCCCCGGAAGGGTGGCCACAGCCGACACGCAGGTGGCTCCCGACCTGCAACCTGCAGTGATGCCTCAGCTGTCGAATGGCTCCAAGTTCGGGCTTCCCACTACTCCATCAGCAAAGTTAGATACACGAAGGCTGCTCAGTGCTCATGGTTTTTGCTCAACAGTCAGCCAAACACCTGACTTGAAAAAACTTGCACGGCCCAAGAGTCACAGGTTGTGTCTCGCCGGGGACACCACCTTCAGTCTGCGCCCTGCTCTCACCCAAACAACACACGGTGCGATGCAAGCGCCTTAAACCATCTCACTGTGCTTTGGGGGCTTCGTTTGCATAAAACATCACAGACACGCCTCCAGAGAAAGTCAGTGATGCTGGTGGTAAAGCCAAGAACAACACTACAGGACCACGAGAGAGCTAGAGAAGTCATTGTGAAATTTGTTGAAGTCCTGGAAAAATAACTTTGTAAGTGTAATATTTTGGCCTCAGAATCAATGATTTGGTCAGCTCTATACACAAAGTCCCCTATGCAAATGACCCTCCACGCAGATGGCTCCTGTATGCAAATGACGCTACGTGCAAAAACACCCTGGGTGAGAGTGGCTTCTCTCGCCAGATGTCGCCACTGAACTTGGTGCGCATGCGTCCAGCTACTTTGTTGACACCTCCCATAGTCCTGGGTCTCAAAAGCGATTCCAAGTCAATTCCCAAACCCACTCACAAATCACCTGCAGCAAACCAAGGTCTCTCCTCGCGCCTGTCGGCCCTCGAGCACAACCCTCGAGCCGGAGTCCCTGGAGACGTCCTACCTGCCTCCCTGCCCCACATCTCAGCCTGCACTCCAGGTCCACCTGTACGTCCCTCCCCAGCTCCACACAGTCCAGCTCGGTGTCACTGCTGACTGGAAGGGGAGACAGCACCCACAAGGTCTCTTCCGGTCCCCAGCAGAGAGGGGAGACCAGAGAGAACCCTGGAGGAGGGTGACGCTTGCGCCATCTGCAGGGCGGGGTGCGCAGCAGACAGGTGCAGGCGCACAGGGCGCGCATGGTGCCTGCACCCCGGGAGCCCCCCACACCTCCGCACCTCTGCTCCAGCACCCAGGCAGGCCGCCCTCAGAACAGCCCCGGTGGCAAAGGCAGAGTCAACCAGACTAATTTACAACCAAGGACAAGTTACAAACAAACAAACAAACCCAAGTTCAACAAAGCAGGCTTCCTCTGTGATGCGCCCCCCATGAGCACGCTTGGCCACCATCTGGTGGAACCAGTGAGGCAGCAGTGACCCCTATTTTAGAGACGAGGACCCCAAGACCGGGGAAACTTGTCCGAGGCCATGGATGAGTGCGACCTTGGCCAAACTGCTTACGCTGTGTGTGCCTCCCCGTCCTCCAAGGGTGACAGCAAGGGCCTTTAAATCACAGGAGTGGGCACCACAACGCTGCTTGGCGCATGGCAGCGATCTGTGTTTGCCAGCATCTCCAATCTGATGAGCAGGGACAATGACACAGGGCAGGAGGGCAAGGCGTGCGGGTGGCACTGACAGCGCCTATGGTGAGTTTCCTGGTAGAAGAAAAAGAGCTGGCATAGGCCAGGTGGCGCAGGAACGTGTGCTAGGCACGACATAGAGCCAGGCACATCCAGTGGGGAGGAAACGAGGACACACGTGATCACAAGAGTGTGCGACACTGCACCGTGCAGCTTTCTAATGGGCGGGACACACTGTGTCTACTCGCTAACACAATCGCGGAAATTGTGAAGTTTCTTTGTAAAGAAACAGATAAATGGGGCTGAGGATTTAGCTCAGTGGTATAAGTGCCTGCCTTGCAAGTGTGTGGTCGTGAGTTCGATCCCCGTACAGATAAAAATGAAAAAGACAAAAAAAAAAAAAAAAAAAAAAAAGCAAACAAAACCGCCAATTATATTTCTTGCAGACTGCTGTGTGCTCTCCGGGATGGATTTCTAAGTGAGCGTCCTCTGATAACTATTTGGAGGCCAGGAGAGGCCTGAGCCACGTCATTCTGTGCTTCTTCCAACTGTATCATCCAGGGTTCTGGAAATGTGTTCTTTGTGTGAGTTATCAAGAACAGTCTCCTAACAAGTTCATTCCCTTTAAAGAAGGAAACAGACTAATTTAAAATCCAAACCAGCTTCAAATCACATCTTCCCAAGGCTTCACTTTCACAGCGGAAGAAATTCCTCAGCATAGACTATGCAGTTTCAACTCTGGCACCAAGACGGTTTCCCGGACGCCTCCAGGAGACCAGTGCCGCACGCCGCACGCAGTGCATTTGCAGGGAGAAAATACGGCTTCACTCTTTCCCCTGAGGTTACCCAGCCACATCCCCAGCTAGAGCTGACATCTGTCTAAGCACAAGGAGAAAAGCCCCTTGCAGAGACCAGAACCCAGGAACCCGCCTTCCCGCTCACCACCTACACCTGCGGGTACCAGAGCTCACAGGACTTCCAAAGGTTCAAAGGACCCAAATCTGGAGATCAAAAGGTAAGTTCAAAGAAAACGGATTCTGGAAAACACCAGCCTCACAGGGCTGCCCCTTGACTGTTCCCAAAGCCAACTTCAGCAGCCAACTTTTACAAAAGCCTGCAACCACCACTCCCAAAGTGGCCCTGCAACAGAAGTTCTGGATTACAAGGTGCCAGAAGCAGAGGCAGGAAGGAGCAGGCAGGCGCTCTCATCAGACCTCAGGGAAGACCCTGGTCCCCCAGGAGCACCTCGCAGTTACAAGCAATGTTCAGGCAAACCCCCTCACCAAATTAAAAATTCTCTGAACAACTGGTTCAAAATAACCAAGTCCACTGGCAGCTTGCTCTGTAAGCTAGAGAAGGGTTGCACAGGCTGAAAGGAAACTCAGGTGTAAGCTTGCGGCCCACACTTTACAGAACGCTCAGAACACCCTAATCTTATGCGCCGCAATAGAAGCTTCTTATGAGTGTAACTACCAACGCACAGCGAAACGTGAGTATAGTGGGTTCTTGGGAAGGTGGGGAATTGGGCCTCAAGCCTGCTCTCCCTGCGTCCTGCGCATACTGTTGCTTCTCAGTGACCACGTGCAGGTGGCAGGCAGCTCCTCCTCCTGGACAGTGCTCTGGGAACTCGCCCAGGAGAGCCCTGGGGC